GGCAGCCATGTAAATTTAAATGAAGCCGCGATCATTTAAATCGCGGCTTCATTTGCCTTTGCCAAAACAATAAATCTACATGGCTCCGTCGACGGAGCCATGTAGTTTAGAAGTACCCTAATAAACACGACCACCAAACCCTGGTGTTTCAGGAGAAGGAGGAGGAGGTAGTCCAGAAGCTGGGGAACCGTGGCCTGCTGGGGGTTGGCACCCTTATTGAGGCATCACATGGAGAATCTCTTCCATTTGGCGAGACAAGCAGCCCTAATGGAGGACTTGTGGCTGCTCAGTAAGACTTCCCTGACCAAATTCAAGCACTGGAATTTCAAGTGGTTTAGCCATGGAGCTTCCATGCCGCGAGATGGAGTGACTCCAGATTTCGGTGGCACATCTGGCCAAACTCCTGCGTCAATAGGTCAGGAACCAGAGGGAGCATTGTGGGATTACTCACCAACAAGGACAGCAGCAGCGAACCAGTGTTGCCTAGGCCACACTACTGCTATCGGTATCACCGTAGCTTTGTCCTGTCAAATCTTGAGAAGGAGCCTGGGTATTAACAGCACTGGGAAGAAGGTGTACAGGTACTGCTCTCTCCACGACAAGTGTAAAACATCTGACCGAGACCCCAACCTGTGGCCCTAAAAGGAGCAGAGCCACAGGTGTTTCAGAGGATTGAGAACAGGTCTACCTGGGGATGATCTCACTCTCGGAAAATGGAGAAAGCCACATCTGTCTTGAGGGATCACTTGTGAGGTCATGGGGCTGAAAAGACCAGTGGAGGTGATCCGTGTGTCTGGAAAGTTCACAGCCTAGAGGTAAAAGTCATGAGCAATGCATAGGACCCACAGAGAGATGGCCTCCTGACAGAAGGAAGGGGAGCGAACACCACCCTGTTGATTGACATAAAACATTGCTGGGGCGCTGTCCATTATCACCAAGGCACACTTGCCCTGCAGGTAGGCCAGGAACATTTGGCAAGCCAGCCAGACCACCCTGAGTTCCCAGACATTGATATGCAACATCATTTCCGTGAAAGAACAAAGGCCTTGTGTCCGTAAATAGGTTAAGCGTGACCCCCACGCCATGTCAAGGTGTCTGTCACCAGGGTGATCTCTGGCCCACGAACAAGACTCCCACACATACACTCTGGGTCTACATCCACCAGCTGAGGCATTGCAGGGTTGCCGGCGGTACTGTGACCACATAGTCAAGAAGGTCCCTGCAGGGCAAGAACACCAATGCCAGCCATGCTTGGCGGGGACGGAGATGTAGATGGGTATGGTGCAGGACATAGTTGCAGGATGCCATGTATTCAAGAAGCCTCATGCAATTGCACCCCATCATGGTGAAGTACTGCTGTAGTGTGGAGATGAGGCCTGCTGAGGTCTGGAACCAAGACTGCAGCAGGGAAGCTGCCATCAGAGAAGAATCGAAAAGGGCCTCAGTGAACTCTGTTCTTTGTGAGGGAATGAGTGTGGATTTCAGCATATTGAGGATCGGGCCCAAGCAGGAGAATGTGGTCTTGGCCAGTTCCAAGTGCCTGAGCATCTGCTCCCGTGACCTGCCTTTGAACAGCCAGTCGTCCAGTTCTAGGAGACTGAACCCAGTTTCTGCACAGGAATTTGGCCACCACCTCCATGCACTTTGTAAACACCCAAGGTGCTGTGGCCAGGTCAAAGGGCAGCACTGTGAACTGGTAATGCCGGTCTGCTACCATAAAAAGGAGGAAATGGCTATGGGTCGGAATAACAGAGATATGAAAATTCACATCCTTGAGATCGAGGGTGGCATACCCGTCCGCTGGCTCCAGCGAGGCCAACGAGACCATATGAAAGCTCAAGTTTCGCATGAACACGTTCAGGTTTCTGAGATCCAGTATGGGATACAAGACCCCATTTAAGCCTTTGGGATATGGAAGTACAGGGAGTAAAACCTCTTGCCTCTGAACTCCTGCAGGACCTCCTTTATCGCCCCCATAGCGAGGAGTGACCTCACCTCCAGGATAAGGAATTGCTAATGAAAGGGTTCCCTGAAGAGGGAAGGGTAAGGGGGGGCAGGAGGAGGTGAGGGTACACAATTGGATGGAATATCCCACTCCCACCATGCTCCGGTAATCTGGGCTTAAGCATGGTGGAAGTGGAACAGATGGTTCCCAAAGGGAGGAGACGCTTCTGGGAAAGCTTGTCACCAGGGTGATCTCTGGCCGCGGGTCCCCAAACGAGACTCCCACGCACACTATATGGGTCTATATCCACCCGTCGAGGGATTACAGGGTTACCGGCGGCACTGTGGCCACACAGTC